TGTGGGAAAGGGTGTAGAAAATGGACCGTGCCAAATAGCTCATTAGGGTTACGCTAGACACAGAGGAGGGTTAACTTAATGTTCTGTCCGACAAGCTAATCGTCCCCTGCACACGGACAGGGAAGGGAGTTCATGCACGTCAAGAGGGACTGTCAGACGGCGTTGGAATTAGAGCCATCCAAGTTGTCGGTACGACTACGTAGTAGGTAAGTAGGTAAGTAGTGCGGACTAACTAAGTAGAGACGAATGGACAAGATAACCTACAGGATAGTGCAGATGCTACAGGTCTGGGAGCGATCCCAGAACCATGGTTCAGTCGCGGGAAGCTGGAGGCCTTCCCGTCGCGCCCTTCGGTAGTTTAGTTTAGGGGGAGCTGGACCCGCTAAGTCAACGGGGACTGGGACTGGGAAGATGCAATGAACCCTCCCTCCCTCTCGATTTCTTTCTTTCTCCCTCCGACTTTCTCCTCCATCTTTGTGGTTCTGTGAGAGACTTGGATGATGATTCGTGTTGTGTTCTCGGCTTGGCACCCCATTCATGTCGTCTCGTATCGGTCTCAGTCTGCCAAAGCCCAACTGACTTATCGTAAAGAACTCACGAGTGGCCAGAATGGAAATACCATTTACTGTAACTAATGACAACTAACATTACCACAGTGTACGCCTGTGCGTCGCGGTCGGATGAGGATTATGCTGGCTGCTGGCCAGTGAAGAAAGAAAAAAATCATTTCTTTCCCAGCATTTGTTCAGTGATCCATCCCCCTAGACCCAAAATCCCACTCCCAAGAAAATCAACAATCATCTGTGACCCGACCCTCCCAAATGTATTGTATCGGTTCCAACTCCACCACTAACTAATCCGGCATCTCCACCTGAGAGCTGAGCCGGCCGAGCCGTGTTTTCCACCCGATGCTACCTCCCAAGCTCTACTCTCAGAGCACCAGATAGAACCGACGATCCATGGGGTCTTGGGTCCTATCCTGTATCTGGGGTTTTTATGTTGTTGCATGACCGTGAGAAAACGTATCCTTGACCTACTTCTTCTCTGATTTCGCCGATCCGACAGCTAACGTTATGTCTATGATACCGGGACTGGACTATGGAAAAGGGCACGCGCATCGGGAGTTGTAGAAGGATACACGTGTACAAGTACCATCGTCTCACTATGATCAGTTACACTTCTGGGTAGAAAGATCACGATAATCTTAATTCATCATCTCCTGAGCTGGATTCAATTCGTTGCATTGCCAACTAGGCTAAACTAAAAAAAAATGGGGGTTGGGTATTTTTTTTTCTCTGAAGCTCGTGGGGAATTAGCATCATTGCATGGTCGTTGGGGTCGTCTGATTGGTTGATCTATATACACCTTCCGGGATTCGGGGGGGGGGGGGGCTTGTAAGAAGAGCCGCGAAGGTTTATCGATGATTTAGGATAAGGTCGGGGTGGAGGAGAAGTGGTGGGGTCAGATAGATGTGGTCCAGTCTAGCGTGGCCGGATCGATGATGTGCGGAATTGATACGCAGGGACTCGAAGGGGTTGTTGAACCGAGATCCGCGGTTTTTGGCACATCTTCACTCATCAGCGTAGTAGAGTTGGGAGTGGTAGCGACGCTGTAGGAGGTGGATTGTTTTTGCCCGTCAAATTGCGGGTGCGCTGGCGAGGCACTTTGACTGGCGTGTTCGATCACGAGACTGTATGCGAGGTTGGAGGACAAGCCTGTGTGGGAGTTGGACTTTCCGTCCGCAAGTGCTGGCCTCGAGTGCAGACAGCATAAGGCGAGGAGAGGGGTAGGGGTGTTTCCCGTAAAATGCTCAGTATTCTTTGCTGATCGCACTCAGAGAATGTGCTAGCTTCAGAAGAACAACGCTCTCCGTAGCGGCATAATAGTTCAAGCTGCAAGCAGATGTCAGTAATCGCCACATCTCTTTTACTTTGATACTCACCTGTCCATCAAGATCCGCAAATGTCGGCTGAAATGGTCCTCGACTCGTTTGAGCGACTCGTCAATCTTGTCAACTCGCGTGGGATCGTATTCACGACCCATTGTCCTAGACAAGTCGGGGTCTGCCAAGGCAAGGTTGCGATTGAGATTGCCGTCGGCCCAGCTAGCGAACGTATTGCAGCCTATCATCAGTCGATGGTGGACCTGGGTAGTCTGTGAGCAAGCGAGAGGGGCAGCCTGGGTAAGCTCGACTGACCTTCAGTAGTTTGGCCTGGGTCAGCATGCACTCTTTGAGACAAGTATCCAAGAAATCCACATGGTCCTGCATCAGTTCATCCACCGTACGGTTGGCCTGCTTGGTACCGTTGACGGTGACTTCCGAACCATCTGCGTCGGTTCCATTCACCCGGTTCATCAGAATCTGCCAATTGGGCTCGATGACCTCCGCCGTGCAGAAGTAGAGCAGCTGTTGGATGAATAACAGCATCTTCGAGCGCAGGGTCCACGCGCGTCGTTTCCACGTCTCCAATCGTCGGTCAGAGGACTTGTGTCGCCAGGCGTCAGCCTTGCTTTGCTCCAGCCAAGATGCGCCGAGCATAGTTTCAACGTGGCGCAATGACAAGATGTGCCGGAAGACAAGTTGATACCGTAAAACTGTCTTCCGACTGATAACGAGAGACAACGGGAAGGGTACCAGATAGTCGAGCTCGAGCGCATCGAATCCATTGATCTTCGTATCATTTTCTCCACCTTGCGTCGAAGGGGCTTGATATTTTTCGAGTGCCGCCTCCGGATCATCTTGGTTCATGCCGGAGACGCTCACGACCTGCATCAGCCATTTCGTGAGCCCGACCTTATTCATACGGACCTTAACGTCTTCTTTGAAAGGGTCCTGAGCGGCTATACTTCCGGGCTGACGTAGGACTAAGTCGAGAAGCGACTGAAGCTTGCTCTCGTTGACATCCTTGGCGGGCCTGCGCAGCTCAGAATCGCTAAGCTCGAGGAAGTAGGAGAAGAAGTCGGAGCGATCCAGGAAGAAGTAGTGCTTGAGAGAACGGAAGCGGGTCGTCAACGAGTTCTTGGTCAAGAGAAGGTTCAATAACGAGGCATTCGCATATGTGTAAGCCGCATTGACATTTTCCAAAAAGCGAGGATCATCTAGCGTCTTGGGCACATCCCTGACCTCTTTACTGACATCAACGCCACCGCATTCTCGTACGACATTAAGGTACTTGCCTGCCAATAGGACTTTGTCTTTGACCGTCTCCAACTGTGGCGGCACCTCATTGTCGCGGATCGTATAACGTTTGTCCCAATACTCGTCGGTGTAGTCTTCTTCGAGCTTTTCGCGCTTGATCCATTTCTGCTCTTTTACCAGAAATTCACCATGTGGGTCTTTAATCCCTCCGTGATGCAGCCATTCGTTGAGCATAGCCATGTAAGGCCGGCTGCCGTCTCGCAGCAACCTTTCCAAAAGAGCCTTCGTGGTTGGATCACCTGAGAATGTTGCAAGTCGCTCAGTCAGAAGACGGAGGACATTGCCGCCTTTGCATATCTTCTTGCTAGACATAGCACCTGGAACGAGGTCTCCGCCTTCCCTCAACTGTTCCAGAATATTATCGACGTCGTCAAAGTCGTCGATGGTCTCGTCGAGGTCTTGGTCCAAGAGCCCGTTTCGCCGAAGTAGGTCCTGACCGAATGAATATAATTGAGCCAAGCATTGGCTAGTCGGCATGGTCTGCAAATGAAGAACATGCAACGTGAAGTTGGGATTTCTCAGCAGTTCACCTTCAAGCTGCGCGACCAGCACTAGAAACTCCTTTAACAATTTCCGGATCGTAGCACACATAGCATGGCTCACTTGGCCGTATTCCGCCCGACTTTGTACTTCAACAAATGACTCCAATGCGCTATAATGTGTCGCGATTTTTAGCGTCGAAAGGGTGAGATCCTTCAAGGTCGGGTCTAGACCGGCCGGTAGCTGAAAGACGGGGCCTGTCAACCTGTCCTTTTCCACCGATGGGTCGTACGAGCTGTGGTAATGGATGTACTGGCCCTCAAATCCCATGAAAGTGAAAAGAAGATCTTCCAAGATTGCCTTCTCCTGCGCGTCCGGAGATAGCTCGCGAAATGGCGAAGGCTGTAGGGATGGAGGCAATGCGGATGCCAGTGGGGGAACCGAGACACGAGAGGCCAACGGCGCGGTGGAATGGGGCACTAGAGAAGCTTGCGGGTTCCAAGGAGCTGCAAGTGGTTCATAGTTAGCATATGAAGAGAAATCTTGACTTGCGAACGAGCATGTTGAGGGAACATTGACTGACCCTCGGTCGGCTGCTTCTCCCTCCTGCGAGCGTTGGGACTGCCACCATCGACATGGCTAACTCGCTTCGACCGTGAGCGCTCAAGCCCTCTGCCATGTCCAGCTGGCAATTCCTTCGTTGCATGCCTTGTTCGACCGTGAGACTTTTCCTTCGCGATGCCCGGCATCCGCTCTGCCCGCCTGTCGGCCGCCATTTGTTGTTGTTGTTGTTCGCGGGGAATCCTGGGTTTGGGGCTGGATGAGCCAACAAAATGACTGACGGGTTCCGACTGCAATGGAGAGGCGCCGCTGCGTATGGGAGCTCTTTCTGAATCACCGACGCGATTCGAGGCAACGCGGGGTCGTGGTGCGCTCATGTAGTTGGCGCGACGGTCACTGACGGACATGCTCCCGCAGGGTGAGAACAATCGGGAACACCATGCAGAATAAGGGAGCTGGTTTGGTTTCGCGGAGAAATTGAAATAGAGTGAGAGATCTTCTCCTCTTGGCGAAGCTAAGAGACACGAAAAGCGAGAACAAATTGAATTGCACACGGTCGCAATTACACGTCGAGGGGGAAGTTGGGAGTCGGGGAAGTTTGGTACGCAATTCGACAAGCTCCAAACAATCGATAGATGCCTGGCTGTGGCCTGGGGCAGCAACCACCGCCTTCTCCGCCAGGCACTCGCCGGACTTGCGTAGCCCGCAACAGCTTCGCCCCGAGCTTCCCAAGAGCAGCTGGCCAACATCTTCTCCTTCCCCCCCCCCCCCCCCCATCCCCCATCCCTACACCCTACAACTTATCACGCTTTCCCATTTTATCTCTAATTCCCGCCAGAACATATCTCTCTCTTCTTTTTCAACCCCGCATATCTCTTTCATATCTCCCCTACAGCCAACATGTTCATCGCCCGATCGGAATATGGTAAGCTCCGTCAGACCCTCCTCTCTGATGCGGTCATCTAACAGCTTCTCATCGCAGACCGTGGAATCAAGTACGAGCTCTGCCACCTCCCTGTCGAGTCTACTGGATCTACAAGCTCGAATTCCTAACCTCGTCACTTTCGCAGCACCTTCTCTCCGGAGGGGCGTCTCTTCCAGGTCGAATACTCTCTTGAAGCTATCAAATTGGGCTCCACTGCGATCGGTGTACGTTCAGCCATCCCCTTCTGCGACAGACCCGACTTTCCAACGCCTGCCAACGGCACGAGCGTGTCCCTTCATGCGATTCCCCGTATTAGTCATTGCGATGGAATGGACCCGTCTGACAACAGAACCAGGTAGCGACCTCGGAAGGTGTCATTCTGGGCGTGGAGAAGCGCGTCACCTCCAGCCTCCTCGAGGCTTCCTCCGTTGAGAAGATCGTCGAAGTCGACCAGCACATTGGCTGCGCCATGTCCGGTCTGCAGGCAGATGCCCGGTCCCTGATCGAGCACGCCCGCGTCGAATGCCAGAACCACGCCTTCCACTACGCCGAACCCCTCAGAGTCGAGAGCTGTACCCAGGCGATCTGCGATCTGGCGCTGCGGTTCGGAGAGACGGGAGATGACGAGGAGAGCGTGATGAGCCGGCCCTTCGGTGTCGCTCTGTTGCTCGCCGGTATCGATGAGGATGGACCTCAACTGTACGTCCCTCGTTTGCGCTGGAAACATCGGGCTGCTGCAGAGTGTGTCTGGCTTACTAATCTTTCTGTCTTCATTAGATACCACGCCGAGCCGTCGGGTACATTCTATAGATACGATGCCAAGGCGATTGGCTCCGGCAGCGAGGGTGCACAGGCGGAGCTGCAGAACGAATACCACCGCTCGTTGACGTTGGCGGAGGCAGAGACTCTGGTTCTGAAGACGTTGAAGCAGGTCATGGAGGAGAAGCTGGACGCGAAGAACGTCCAGCTCGCCAGCGTGACCAAGGAGAAGGGATTCCGCATCTACAACGACGAGGAGATGGGCCGGGCTGTTGCGCAACTCGGCGGGAACCAATGAGGGAGATGATAATGCTTGGGAATCTCGATGAGCCAATGTGTATGTCGGCAATGGTACCTAGTAGTCTTTGGAGGGATCTCTGTTGGGCCAACCCCATAGAAAAGAACAATGACTTGTCTAATGATCTATATATCACCTTGTTGCATCGATCCGATTGATAACGAATAGGATCCTGGCGAGACAGCCATGTGGTATTTACACGACATCGTCACCTGGCACCATCATACGCAGACGCCAGGCCTATACTGCATGCTATATGCTATATGATATATACACCGCACTCCAACCACACCCTACCATCTCCCCCAAACTCACGACTCCGTAAACTCGGCAACCGCCCCCAAAACCACCTCAGCCACCCTCTCCGGCTGGCCAACCTGCGGCACATGGCCCGCACTGCACCGTTCAACCCGACTGCCCGCCGTAGCAGCCAACTGCTCCTGCAACCCCACCGGCAAAGCCTGATCCGCCTCACACACCAGATACACGCTGGGCACATCCCGCCACCCGGCATACTCGACCGTGGCATCCCAGCCCTGCGCCGGCTGGGGCCTGAGCACCCCCGTCCACCTCCTCTGCTCCTCCTCCGACAGATCCCCGAACAGCAGCTTCTGGGGATTCGCGCAGTACGATGCGCCGCCCTAACCACTCATACACATTAGCACATGTATCCCCAAACCAAACTACCCCAATCCCTGAGCCCAAGATCCCGCTTCCCACTCCTCCCCTTTAATGATGACACCAGGAACAGGGAGGGAAAAGAGAGACAAACCTCCACCCAAGCAAACGGCAACGGCTTATGCTCCAACCCCACAGGAAACACCGCAGCCGCCAGGAACACGATCCCGACGACGCCGCCCTCGCCGCCGCGGGCCCCGCGATCAAGGCCCTGCATGGCCTCGCAGCCCAGGAACCCGCCGGCCGAGTGCAGGACGAGCACCACGGAGTCGCCGCGGGAGACCATCCGGGAAATGGCGGCGCGGAGGGCGGCGATGTCGTCTTTCATGGTCGGGTTGCCGGGCGAAACGGTGCCGGTGCTGGGGAGGGTGGCCGTCTCCACGGGGTAGCCGGCGGTTGTGAGGAGGGTGGCGAGGTGGGTGTAGACGGTCGGCCCTTCCCAGAAGCCGGGGATGAGGAGGACTGTAGGGGTAGGCATTTTTGACTCCCGGGGGGGGGGTTGTTGCGGTGGTGGGTGGATGTGTGGACCGTAGACACCCACACCACGTACGTAGGCTACGATTTTTGGTGATGGAACGGGGAGAAAGAGGGGGGATTGGATTTTATCATCAACAGAAATGGGCTGTGAGCTATGGAGAGGAGGCTGTTTGTGGCAGGCTGGCTGATTGATCGATTGCTTGAGCTCATACTTATGCTAAGGCTCTGTGTTGGATCATTCTATACGCTTTGGTCGTTGAAGATGGAGACGTGCGGTCCCAACTGTGGACCAGTGGAATGGGATGGTCTGGCTTTTCTCCAAGGCACTTCTTGATTACTGGACTAGCTAGTAGCAAATCATTAATGGGATAGGCTTGTCTCAATCCCTCTGATTGAAGAGTTCAGTGTAAGCTGACACAGTCCCCCATTCTCGCGTAAGCACTAGCACCAAAAAGTACTCGTAGAACCTAGCTCACTGGAGGTCGGGGTAAAGCTTAGTATGGAGAATGCCAATCCAGGCACTCCCAGTGGCATTGGATATCAACGATATCACCACTGCTACGAAAGAGCGACGTGGAAGCTGATATCGCGTCTACAAGAAATGGCTCGCGGACTTGTAGGGCTCTCCGTTCCTGCTTTACGTGTGTCATCCACGCTCTCCTATTCCATACGACTACATCACTCACACAAGCATCAGTAAGGGTTCCCTCGCACTTATAGGGTTGAATGGACTGTACAGCGTGCTCTCACACTCACTCCACAGCCACTCTTGCCTTCCTTTCTCGCCCCCTCATTATGGCTGGACCTAATCAATCGGTGCCGGAACCAGCTGGCAAGATCTGATTCCTCGGGTGGATTGCCGGACGCACAGCTTGCATACGATGTAGATATATGCATGCACATATAACCTGATTTGCCGCTGATCGCTGGCAACCGGGATCTAGAAACGATCGCGGTGGTTTCTGCGCCACCGATTACCTGGGCTAGATCGTGAACTGGGCTGGCAGGGCGAGGCCTCTTTCGAATCTAGACTGTCTGGGTTCGGTGGCTAGGTCTTCGAATCGTTGTTCTAAGCTTATGAGGCTGGTGCGCTCCGGATATATTTATATCTGCTGATTGATGCTGTCGCTGTTGTCATGTAAGAGGACAAGTACAATTCCGAACCTGGAGAGATTGCTGCAGGTGTGGGATTGTTGTGGCTTATGTTGTTGTTGTGGCCCGAGGTTCTGTGTCATGCATTTAATCCCTGGAGCTTGGGTCATCATCAGTATGGCTTGACAACGATGAGAGTTAAGAACTGACCTATTGATACGGCCACACCCTTTGTCTGACTCCGATCAGCGATCAGGGGATATCATTGTTGGGGATCTCGCATGCACGGTCAGAACAAGGATGTTCTTTGTTTGTCTGCAAGGAAGGATGTGAGCTGTAGACAAGCAATAGCAAGGTCATCGCTTAGGTGTTCTTCGGTCACAATGAGCGACTTTTGAGGAAGTCTTCAACTGCTACTTGGATCGAATCGGAGTCAGACATGGGGTAGAGAAATCGAGGGCTCATGCCAGGTGCGTGATTACCAAGCACCTTTAAGCTCAGTTGTGTTATCTGCGCCGTGAATCAATCACAACAATCAATTCTGTCCGAGTCGCGGAAGTTGGCATAGCAAACCCTGATCGCAGAGTACTCTCCTGCCTGATCGGATCTACCAAGCAGTAGGGCCAGACCTGGCTGAGACAATAAAACCGAGCTGTTGTGCGCAGGGACGGAGACTGGATCGTGCAGAGATGCCTATACGGAGACTTGGCGCAGAACAACAGTTGGCAGTACCTTAGCTTCGGCTCCGTTCTTGTTGGCTCGGCATTAGTGCAGAAAAGCCACAGGCTGGGATGGGGTGAGTGGATTTGCGCCTCCACTGAACTGTCCACTGTTTTTCTTCATGGCTCATGCGCCTAAAAGAGATTGTACTTTAACGTCGAGTCTGCAGACACCCGGAGGGGTCAAAGACGACACGGCAAATTTGGAGCGGCATGCCATTTCCGTCAATACCTGCATCCTCTATACTCTTTTTGAGCGATAAAATTGGGCTCATCTCATGTCATATCCATTATTGTAACTTAATCTTTCAGGTCCAGTGTCGAGACCGTTGTTTTGAGTCAGACAGTAGCCCTTTCTTACTTCCCCGTTGCCCGGCCGAGGCTACAATTCGAGGATGCCTCTATCCCACTCCACTATCAGTGATGTCTACCCAAGCACCGTCGTAGGCCTGGGTGATCTATTTCTGTTGCCCAGTCGCTTCGGTCTCGACCAGTTTCTGACCCGCTGTGGATCGGCGAAAGTAAACAATATGACAACGCCAACAAGACCACGGCCGTACTGGGTTTGTCTATGTGGATAACAATCTGAGTCTGGATGTTCCCAGCAAGTTTGATTGGTAGAGCATCAATATCGGTGTGCGATGAAAACACAGAATAGAGGCGTCCAGATTGACTACCAAGGTCAGGCCACTCTGCGACCTGTTTTGAGTACTCAATGGTTATAGTTCAAAGGTATTGCTGATCATGGCCAGTCTCATGCACATCGAAAGCAGACGGACCCATTCGAGTCAGCCAATTGGTGAGGTTCCCCGCTCACGGCTGCAAAGAAAACAACCTGAGGCCCGACCGATTGAAGTGAATCATTTCTGTTGCATCGGAATACAGACGGCAATGTTGCACAGAACAGTCTCTGGGGAGGCGGCTGAATCGATCTGGGATGTCATACATACAACAGTTCCACCGCCCCTGTCGTAGGCACGTGGTCATTGCAAGGCTACCACTGTGTAACGGCTAGACTGGTGGTTGGTGGTCACTGAGCTTCAGTAACCGCGTCCTGTGAGGAAGCACTGCCGTATCAGAGTGATGCTCGTCTGGCTGGAACTCTTGGGTTGAAACCAGGAGTGTCGAGACCCTGTCTCGGATCGACCTAGTTCGCTGTAGACCACAGGAGAAACTCTGGACCTGGGATCTGTCGACCAGTAGGTAACCGGCAGTGACTACTGTACTGGACTCATTGACTAGCCGTCTCTGGTCGGAAGTGGGTGGGTTTACACCCAACCACAAAGGGTTTGATGCATGATGTACTGATGGGCGGACAGCTGGACGGAAGCAATGCGCTGCACTGCTTACGCCTCGAGATATGCGATTTGCGTGAAGACGGAGAGGACCAGACTCGAGGGCGAGGCGGCTGGGTGGAGGATGAGTTGCAGGATGAGAGACCAGGAATGAACAGGACAGAGGAATTTCAATACAGCTGAGGAAGTGAGTGACTGAGGAAGTGAGTGACTGAGGAAGTGAGTGGTCATCAGAAGCACACGCGGTTACCGCACGGGGAAGGCGAGCAATCGTGGAGGAGCTGAGCAATCGTCACTCAGTAACGACTCTTGACGAGACGATTACACGTGGATCCTGCCGAAAAATCGCAGGGCGAGGGGTGCGGATCACTCGAGTTTACCATACCAATACGCAAGGGTAATCTTCTCCACCAAACGTCACTCACTCACCTAGTAGTTTGTAAGTTAACTGTGTATGTACTCGAGTACAGTATTTCTATTTTCTTTTCTCATTATTTTGTCTTTTCTTTCCCATGGAAATTGTTCAGTCTATTTTCGGTTCCCCCTTTCTCCTTCACAGCGGATATTTGCCAGAGGATATATAAGAGTCCTTCGATTCTCTCCACTACTGGTAATTATTCCATTGTTGCAGTCTGTTAGATAGAGCACTTTCAAGGTTCCATACTCATAGTTCCGAAAACTGCCTTATCGACTCGATCGATTATCAACCCTGCCCCGCCATCTGATTTAACCTGCGGCCCGCCAAAAGTCAGCCGCTGTCGTCACCCACGGTTGAATCTAATCATCCTTCCATCTCATTCATCCATACTTCGTACTTCACCCCGAGTCACAACAGTCAGTCATCCTTATCTGCCTTCGGTCTCTTCAGGTCATTTTCTTCATCATCACCACACCGCCGTATTACACATGTCTCGCTACGGCGACTACCGTCGCTCCACGGGGACTCTTGACGATGACCGCTACCCGCATGAGCGGCGGGAGCGTCACCACCGTCACCGTTCGCGCGCCCCCTCGGTGCTTGATCGCCCCCGTCGATTTGACGAAAATGAACGTTTCGAATACCGCCTACAAGAACAAGACCGCTACGGCCCCCCTGCACGTCGCCCCGACATTGTGTATCAGGACGATCATCTGATCCATTCATCTGGTCCTTTGGTCGCTTACGATCGCCGTCGTGCGGAGAGCCCTCTGCCTCGACCTCGACTTCTCCGGCGGCAATCCTCCCTAGACACCTTCGATCGGATCCCTGCGCGCAAGTTAGACGAATACTATTACAGTGACCGCCCTCCCAGATTATCTCCAAGCCCGCCACCCCGACGGGGATCTTACCATCGAACCCGCGAACCAGACTACTACGAGGAAATCAGCATTGCGGAAGGAGACTATGGAGAAGAAGAGTACCGGGGCTTTCGCGAACGGAGCGTAGGACGTCCCCGTCGCTCAGCAAGTCGTTTTCGTGAGCGACTGGTGGAGGAAATTGATGTGGAAAAACCGTATCCTCGGAAAGGCAAGACTCGCATGCCCCGCAAGATGGTTCATACCACCGCAATCCGCGAGCTTGGCTACCCGTATGAGGAAGAGGTGTGTATACAGTTCTTTCACACTTCGGACCAATAAAAAGGTCTAGAGTCTATTTTACCGATCGGTAAGCTGACATCTTTGGTCCAAGGGCAAAATGGTTGTCATTCAGCTGGCTCTGTCCAAAGAACAAATCGATGAGGTCATTGGGAGAAGTCGCGAGATCAAGCGCCTGACCGAGAGTAAGTCATCCTTTTCGCCTCGAGTCCGCAGGCAGCAGGCACTAACTGCATGATTTTAAAGCACGCGTTATCCACACCAGCTCGCCATCCCCAGTTCGCGCCCGCCGTCGAGACAGAACTGTGGAGCGAGTTCCGATGGAGGCCTATACCCCTAGAACCAGCCATGACACTCTTATCATCGAGGCGTCTCCGTCGCGGCATCGATCTCATTCGCGCCACCACCACTACCACCACCCCCATGGTGAGCTTTTGGAAAAGAAAGTGACCAGGACTGTATCACGCACCCGAGACATTTCGGTGCATGGACGACCCCGTCGTCGATCGTCACCAGTACGCAGATATGAGCGTTACGAGGAGCAACCTAGCAAGACTCACGCTGGGTCCCTGGCAGTTGTGGTGCGGCCCCGCGATAGTGACGAAGATCTGCGGGAATATGCGCTCGAGCGGCGTGGCAGCGGAGAATATGTCCGAGACACGGAGATCATTGGGGATGGGGTTGCGGAGGAGATTCATGAAGTAAAAAGAGAGCGTAGAGGTACGAAACATATGTTGTTCTATCACCCATTTGGATGCTAATGCCTTTCTAGGTCCAAGTTCCCGCATGATGCGTGCGATGATGGCGACATTGACGTAGTCTGGTTGAGTTGTGGTGATATACCAATTCTTGCTTTTATGACGCTGACTTACGACTTATCGATTACCCTTTCGGTGTTTCTTATCATGACTGTGATCTTCTTTTCCTATTTTGTTCTTCTCTTTGCTTTCGTATTATGTACTATAACAGCTTGACTGCGTTTCTCTGTGTATCATTTGACTAGCCCAGTTTGACGATCGTTTGGCGAAGATACTGATGACTATGCGAGCAACGATGACTATAACCAAACAAACAAATACTTATGACTCATGACTCATGAACATCCAATAAGTGAATTTCAGTAGTCGGAGATTTGATTCTGCATGATCTGCTCCAGCCACCTAAGTGTGCTACTGCAAGCAATTTCTCCCGCCGCCTGCTGCCAACTCATCGCCCTTGGATTGATTGTTCTTCCAACCAAAGCGATTGCCAAGCGGGAACTTGAACTATTCCAGAAGCGTAATTGCCGGCACGAAACCGTGGCGGGGCCAGGCGGTGTCAGACCGACGGAAAGTGGCCTCGACGCTTGCGATCATCTCAAAACACTCTGCCTCTGCAAGCCACAGATAGGCTGTCTTACCTTTTAACAAAAATCTTTGCATCGCGTCTACTGATTATCTACCAGCAGGACTGTACCGACTTTCACCATGGACAAGTTCTCAGCGTTCGGAAAGAATCTCAGGTGAGATAAATGATCGTCCTTCTCCTGAGTGTGGCTTGTGCCAGGAGATGGTAGTGGATTCCGTATCCAGCCTCTTCCCCAGCGGCTGCAGCACGAGCTTGAGCTGCCATTATCGATCGGACATTTACGCTAACATTTCGTTTCAATGGGACATCCAGCGCGAGCTTCTCTCCCTTTGCCCAGCGCACTCAGCAGATGATCCGCGAGCAACTCGGCCAGGCAGAAGACCGGACTCAGCTTCCCGATGAGTACATCGAATTGGAGAAGCGCGTGGATGCGCTGAAGATTGTCCACCAGAAGCTCCTCCAGGTCACGTAAGGGCATCCATATATTCCTCGGTCTTAAGATCTTACGTGCTCACGTACCGACCATCCAGCTCTCAATACTCCAACGAAGCCTACGACTACCCTCCCAACATCCGTGAATCCTTCAACGATCTCGGTCGCACCATCAACGAGAAGGTCTCGCTTCTTTCCCAAGCCTCGTCGCCTGCCGAGGCCCAGGCAGCCCTGGTCGCCCCTCCCTCGGCCAAGCCCCAGCCCAAGACCTTCAACCACGCCATCGCTCGCGCCTCGCTGGCCGGATCCCAGACCCTGGCGCAATCCTCTCACGGCGAGGACCCCCTGGCCACTGCCCTGGAGAAGTATGCGCTCGCCGAGGAAAAGGTGGGCGAGGCCCGTCTGGCCCAGGATGCTCAGATCCAGTCGCGCTTCCTGGCTGGGTGGAACACCACGCTGAACACGAACCTAATGTTCGCGGCTAAGGCGCGCAAGAACGTCGAGAACGCGCGTCTCATGCTGGACTCGGTCAAGGCGGCCAAGAAGGCTCAGGTCAAGGGAGACTGGGACAGTCTGAGCGAGGAGGCTCGCGCCGAGATTGAGCAGGCGGAGGACGAGTTTGTCGGACAGACCGAGGAAGCTGTGAGCGTGATGAAGAATGTATGTGCATATGGTAGTGACTTGACTTGGCGGATGATGGCTGACTATGTACCAGGTTCTCGACACCCCCGAGCCCCTCCGCAACCTGGCCGATTTGATCGCAGCGCAGCTCGAGTTCCACAAGCGGGCCTATGAGATACTCAGCGAGTTGGCCCCTGTCGTGGACGGCTTGCAGGTTGAGCAAGAGGTGAGTGCACGAATTCCGGATGTTATATTCTTGGTGCTTGACTAACGTGCATTTTGACACAGGCTAGCTACCGTAAGAGCCGTGAGGGAGCTTGAAAAGCCGCTCAGATTGTAAATTTCCTTGTCTCATCGTTTGCTTCTGTTGGAATCGCAGCCCCTGTTAATTCAGCCCCTATTTGCTTCTATGACAGTGTTCTATATCCCTCGATAGGTGGTTACATCGACCAGATTGACTACACCTTTTGTATTGTGACTGTAGTTTGGACTGTAGTATATGTCGTTTTCGGCAACGATGTCTGCCTCAGGCCCCAACGGCGGGCCGGCTAGGGCGGTGAGCGGTGAGGTCGGGCGGTGTAGGCTGGCACTTCGCCCAGCTGCCAGCTGCCAGCAAGCAGCAAGCATCACTCTTCGGAGAAGCTCCGCCGATAACTCACCTCTCTGTCGATAACCATCATCATCCTGTCAGTCTGTCGGTCTCTGCCTGCCACGACAACCATTCCTCGCCATTCTTCGCCCCCCAAATTTCTCAATTGCTCATCTCTATCACCAACTCGGCCTTCTAAACCCCTCTCACTCTCCAAGCGTACTTAAGATTCCCGACCTCGCAACAACGATCCATACCCCTCGAACAGTCAAAGTAACCACCAGCACTCCACACCCACAGCGCAATACACAATCCCAGGCCAACCACTCGCCAGCAGCCCTCACCCACAATCAATCTATCTTCAAAAACCACCACGAGACAAAAGGAGAAAAGCACACAGTTAGGCTGGCCCTACGCTGTACGGAACAATAATTGTACTTCCTTCCACCACCACAAAGCGTATCTGCCAATCGGGACCTGGTGCTTACACCCTCGCCACAGACCTTCTCCTCGACCTCCGCAAGACAACTCATATCCGAAGCAATTATAGTCAAGATGGCGAACGGGTAAGTTGCCCCACGGCCATTCGAACCTTTCCCCCAACGGCCACCAAGAGTGTGCGAGGGCAGCAAGCAGGCTTGATTGCCCTTCCATCACATCCAGCATAACCGGAATCCCAAACCGCCCACTAACCCATGCTGCAAAACAACCAGATGGAGCATCATCATCGGCCTCATCGTCGTCGTCATCGCCTCTGTCTTGGCGTGGATCTTCAGCCCCAAGGGCGAGAATCAGACGTATGTTCATCGCACCCTCCCCTCGCCCATGACTCCCCTAAAGAGGGAATGCGATATTTCGGCTTGGGGCGACACCAACACAAAAAAACAAACTAATACTTGAGACAGTGTGTTCAGAAGTACCCTGATCTTATCCTTCGTATGCTGTTATCTGATGTGGGGTATGTCTTTCCCCATGCCCTCATGAGCCGGGCCAGGCCCCTAAAACTGAATACTGACCGGTGACTTTTCTGTTATGTGTAGCGATCACGTTCCTCGCGCAGTGGCATCCGCTCATCACGCCTAAGAGGTCGGATATTCGGCCTGATCGGGTGCCTGAGTAAATCCCTCTTGGACTTGCGATCTTGTTTTTGTGTTGAAGGGGTGTAAGCTCGGGATGTGAGGCCTTTGTATGATGTGTGTCGAGGTGGATCGGCAGGGTGGGTGCCTAGAAGTGTTGGTGATATGCTACGTACGGGCCCGTCTTGGCTTGGTTGGCCGGGAGGGTTGGATGGGATTATACCCCCGTGGATTCTGCAAGGGATTTTCTCATGTTTCTCGAACGTTCTGTATAGTTGGTTTTGTTTGTTGGCACGGGCGAAGGTTGTTTTGAGTTATGCGGATTCGCGAATTGCATCATGATTGTATCCTACATTTTTCTTCTCTTGGGAGGGGGGGAGTTATATGTATGTTGCGTATACGGAGGTGGAGGTAGAGGAGCTAAAAGATAAGCATGGACCTGTGTTGATTCTTCCCGTTAAGCTTAGACTAACTAACTCCGACCAACCCCAAGATCACCCTCTGGACTGACCACCGCGCCACCAACCCCGTCACCGCCAACGCCACGGCCCGCAGATACCCGCATCCCAGCAGGATATACAGTGCCTCGATGTTACTCAGTAGCACAAGATGCGAATCCGCCGCACCCAGGGACAGCAGCGAGCCCATTAACTCGAAGAACTCGGCGAGATAGCCGGTGGGAACAGACTCTGGCAGTGCGCGCATGACACTGTCCAGGAGGGAGGAGGAAAGTGACGACGATGATGATGATAACGATGATGTGGAGGAGGTTTGTGTGGCTGTTGTGATGGCGGCGGTGATTGCTGCGACAGGCGTGAGGATGCTGTCGAGGGCTGTGGGTGAGCCAGTACTGGCACTACTGCCGATTTGATCGATGGCAGAGTGCGAAGCGGTGGTAGTGGTGGTGGTGAAAGCGTTGCCGCTGCCGTCCGGGCCCCAGATGACGAGGAGGATGGGAAATAGCTTCGCGCAGCTGCTGACGAGAAGCGCGGTGCTGATGGCGGTGGGGCTTGCAGGGGAGGGTGGGGGCAACGGCTTGATATTCATTCCCATGGGGATGTTCATGGCCATGTTTTGGGTGAGGGCGGTGGAGGAGCGGCGGAGCGGCGGCGGAGGGGGGGAGTGGGCGGTTGGGGTTTGGGTTTGGGATTCGCTGACTGTCGTGATGGCGCCAGTGGATGCTGTTGTTGCCGCATCTTGGAGAGAAGAAGATGAGCCCTGCGGGATGAGCTTAGGTGGGCTGAGAATCGTTGCAGGGGTGAGTGTGGCAGTCGGGGATAGTTGGGATGCTGGGAAGGACGGTAGCACCGGGGTGGAGGGATGAGAGGCCTCTGTCTCGGTGTGGTTTGTTGTATTGTTCTTCGCGACGTGACCCCGGGGCGTTGGGGCGAGGATCGAGGCAAGGAGACGGATGGTGAGATGATGAGCAAGCGTCGCAAGCGCGTTCAGAGTGAGGAAGAAGAAGTATTGGACGATGACAGGGGCGCGCCAAAGGAAGGTATCGACAATGGAGGGCGATTTCTCAATACGAGCCCAGGTGAGGTAGACATCGAACAGGAGTAGGAGGATCCCGAGACGGATGATGGAGCGCTGAGGACGTCAGTTATTGAGTGATGAAAGTGTTGACAGTGGGCGGGCGGTCTTACATCGAATTGATTGTCATAGCCTCCTAATCGATTGAAGAGCAGATGGCGATATACCTGGTACATTTAGCTTTGGGTTCAATTTGCAGAGCAAGAGCCGCACCTGTGGTTTGATCAGGACAAGATCAATGAAGAGTACGACAAAGTCATATTCGACATATTTGTCGGCGAAGCGCTGGCAGCGCGGACATTGAGTCAAGCGTACTCCTTTACCCAATGATCGGTCATCAGCACGGCTGTAGGTGCTGTACAGATGGGAGACTGGATATGAGCACTCGATGCAGATGGGCATCGTGTCGCTTGTAACTGATCATAAAATCATTGTTGATATAAATGCAACATGCTATGAGGAATGATGGAAGAGAAGAAAAGGAAAGGAGAAAGAGTCGACTCCAATCTCGGCGCGGAGATCAAAGGCGGTGAAGACCTTCTCCGCAGCGGCTGTCCCTGGCCTGTTTACTCCGCATCTCCACTCCAGTTCCAGTTCCTCGTTTCAAGCGACACAACAGCTGGCTAATCACTCTATTGCCTCCTAGTTGCTTTATAACCATTCTCTTCTAATGTTAATTGTTGAGAATCTACTCAGGTCGTCGGAAGCTAAAGCTTACTTCCCACATCCAGGCTCTTGACATACGCCAGGATATCATTCCGACCACTCGCCAACCGTTCTGGGGTTGTCTTGAACAGCCGTGGAACTCCACTTTCCTCATAAGCTGCCCCATCCACAACCATCCATGCGATGCCCCGCGCAGACAAGAAAATCTGCGGCATGCCATGACCACTATAGCCGGCGATTACGAGCTGACCGGGTTTACCTGGCACATGTCCAACATGCGGTAGAGAATCACTGCTATATCCCATCACTACTCAAACATTAGCCCAACGACCGTAGAACGCAACAAGCCGATCACCAAGGGCCTACCTCCTGACCACACACGGTCCGTGTATGCCCCCGTATTCTCCCAGCCGTGGAAGGTACGCTGCATATAGTTGTCAAAATACCGCGTCGCACCGTCCACCACCCTGCCATCATCAGTGTTGTGGTACCAACTGGGAATGTCCTGTTTGTAGAAGGTGGACTTCGCACCGCCCACGATGATACTACCGTCAGGACGTGGGATCAAATAGTCGTAGTCCCAGGCGTTGAAGCGCAGAGTATACGAGCGGTCCATGGCCACAGCAGGCGGGTTCGGAACCACGATCCGACTGCAGAATCCCCGCACAGGGACGATCTTGTCCCTGTACTGCGGTGCGAGGGCAGCGGTGTATGCATTGGTGGCGAAGATGACCGTCTTGGTGCGAATCGAGCCGCGGTCAGTGGTGAGGGTCCATCGTCCCTCAGCATCCGGATCATCGGAGATCTGCCGTACCGGGGTGTTTGTCTGCAGATTCACCCCGGCGGCAATGGCGAGCTTCAGAAGGTGCATGATAAGCTTGTACGGCCAGAGGCGCCCGGTGCGTTGGCTGAAGCACCCCCGAGCTCCTTTAACGCCCGATATCTGCCAAGGTCGGCGGATCTAAGCATGTGCATACATACGGAACATAGGATTGCGATAAACTCACAGCTTCAGCAGCCTCCAGCCCGGTGAATTTCACATCTTCTACAGTCTTCACCCCCTTTGCGACGAGAGAATCATAGCCCGCTTTGACCTTTGCAAGCTGGGCTGGGTCAAAGTGCACATCGCAGACACGGTTGACCTCCATATCGCAATCGATCTTCTCCTTCTCTACCAAAGCTTGCACTGCAAGGACATGTTCCATCTCGAATGCGGCTACTTCGGCCGCCGCCTCGACTCCGTACTCATTGGCCAGGTTGCCGACTCGGCTGTAGACATCGGGCTTGAGATGGCCACCTGTGCAAACCGCGGGGCAGATGGACGCCCCACAAATTAGCGAATGCTCATGATGCAAAGCTACTTCATGAGCGAAGCTTCGTACCGTTGCGTCCGGTAGCCCCCGAGCAAGCCTGCCGTGCTTCAAGAATGACGATGGACGGCTGCCTCTTTCCGCCGGCAGTCGCACGCTCTAAACAATGATAAGCAGTAGATGCGCCGGCGTAGCCAGCTCCGATGACGGCAATGTCGCAGGTTTCAGGTAGAGCGTCGGTGGAACGATGATTGTCTAATGGATCGGGCTCCGACCGCCAGAATGAGGACATGCTATTTCCAGCTGGGAATGGGCTGGTCATGGTGAGAGGATTGGTTTGGGATACCTGAAATATGATGGAACTATGGAAGTGGACAAAGAGTGGAGCGCATGCTCAATTCATAATTATACTCGAGGACCATTACCATATCTAGTAGCGCATACTTAGTGCCCTTGAGAGAAGATAAGGCGCCTGATAGCTATGGGCGCAACTTATAGCATTGGACAAAATCGCCGACAGGTTGCAGCGGGGAAGAATCAAACTAGACATTGCCTCTCTTGCCGGTGAGGGGAAGACGGGAGGGAGTACTACCAGATTACTCCATGTATGGTGTATACAAGGGTGGGAACCGCTTATCTTGAATCGGGCCATCTGTTATCAATGATATTCGGTTCGGCAGTCTATACTTCCCAACACGGCGCGTTCGACGATTCTTCCCACAGATTCACCAAGTCCCAACAATAGAGATAGTTAAAAGTAAAGTGGAGGGGCCCGGAAGGATTGAAATTCGACAAGCTAGAATAGAAGAAGAGATATTTACCTTGCAGCGGAGAAAGGCAGCATCAACCATGCCCCAAGAACCCTCTTGAGCCCTAAGCAGTCGAAACCCGCAATTTAATTCATCCATCATTTTGACAAGGCCGGGTCGACTACAGTAGACAAAGCATGGAGCACTGGCAGAATCACGCCAATTACCGCCCCCCTCACCGCCCACACGGCAGAACCTAACGAACCTCGCAGCAGGAGAACCAGCGCTCCCCACATTCCAGTCCCGAAAAAACAATCCGGAAAACTGTTCAATTTTAGGCGGTAGGCAGCAAATCCCAGCACAAAACCAGCAAACCGCCTACTTCACCGTTCCATCCGGCAGAACCTAACGAACCTCGCCACCGTCCACAGGGATTTGGGAAATGAACAGCTTCCCAAAAACAATCCGGGAAACTGTTCAATTTAGGCGGTGGCAGAAAACAATGTACCAGCGGGTGGGCGGTGGTGGGGTGGGGTGGCAGTACCAGAACCAGCAAGCCGCCCGCCCGGCAGAATCTCGCTAGAATCCCCAGGGCTTTTAGAGATAGGAACAGACGAAACCTGGGAAGCTGTTCAATGACAGAAAAGAGACCTGCTACCGCCTACCTGACCGCCGTATTCGGCAGAAGCTAACGAACCTCGCAGCGACAGATTCCCCAAGTCACCAGAAATCTAGAAAACCAGTCTCCAAAAAACGACCGGGTAGAGTGGTTAATTTGGGCGGTGGCAGAATTGTCCTGCTAAAGCGGCAACCGCCTGCCGGGCACCAAGCGGCGTAGGGGGTCCGCCGCACGCTTCACCGCCTATGCCTACCTGTGGTGGCAGAATTTATCCGTCGGAGGGGCTATCTATACTGTCGCTTTGCGAGGCATGCATACTGGACATGTTACTATGTAGAATCTGCTGGAGGGTCCGCTACTGTTTAGGAATTTCCGGCGCTCAGAACCGGGGACTATGAGGACGCCAGTGGTACTCTAGCAGATCTATTTCATGATCCTTTAATATACCTTCTTACTGATTTGTAGTAGTGGCGTGCAATGCAAGATTCGTAGTTGCATCTATGGATCCTGGGATCCGAGGCCTCAGTGGCTTTGTTCGGTGTAACATTCAAGGTC